CTCCAATGCTCATCTAGGTATCTCTCCTAGATCACTCCTCTACTCAAATCTCTCTCTAAAAGAATCATGTTAGATACTCTTACTCCATACATACTCAAAGCACATCACAGACAACAACAATTCATAGGCTAAGGAATCAGAAATCGGGCAACTCTAGCCCTAATATATGAAATACCTAGCCTATCATCTAGCATGTATCACTAATATCGAAATAATAACTCATAACACAAATAAGTAAGGGTATTTTGGGAAATCACCGTTCGGGCTCTGGTTGATTGCACACACTGCTACTACTCATTTTGTCTTAGGAACTCTTGCTTGTTTTAGAAAAATCATTTCTTCTGAAAAATTTTCTCAAATCCCCAGTTTGAGTCCAAACATACCCGAAGGTGCATCCGAATCCCTCAAACCAAGGCTCTGATACCAACGTGTAACAACGTAAATTTTCAACTAAAATTTTCATTTTAAATCACAAAATTCTCATAACACATTTAAAAAATCTCGTTTAATTAATTTACAAATCGCAACTCCATAATTTTTTGATTAAAATCCAAGATCCTCAAAACATAAATCTTTTATTGGTGTGTGCAATCAAGTCGGTGCCTTCCTGTGATCTTGAGAAAAACCTGAAACATATAACACATAACAAGGTAAGCACGAAGCTTAGTGAGTTCTCCAAAATACCACACACAGCTTTGTAGCAACTCGAGGCTATAACACAGTAACACCCTCTGGTCAATGCGTCTCAATGGGACCCTCCAGTCCCACAACTCTGATGGACCCTCCGGTCCTAACTTTGTAAGCTCTAAATAATATACAACATAAGTCACAAAAAAGTAATGCATGATATCACAATACACAATATAAGCACATAATACATCTCACACAAAGATACCACTCATGGTAAGTATAGTGAGAAGACTCACCTTGCAAGCAAGTGAGCCAATAACCTCGCACTCGAATCTCAAACTAGCCTCTGCCTAACACAAAGGATGAATATCTCTAATTAATACTCTTTTCATGACTCTAATAACCGAAGGCTATTCTATATCTTTCTAACTCTTGAAGTAGATAAAAGACCATTTTACCACTCCATGGTCTCCATTACTCATGTTTGACCAAACCCTAAAGTCAACAGAAGTCAAACTCGAGTCAATAGTCCATGTTTGACCCAACTTGCCGAGTGCACCTATGTGACTCGTCGAGTCCACTCTTTTCCTAAAATATCTCATGAAGGTCCAGCTCAGCTCATCGAGTTGACACCCAACTCGTCGGGTCATCGCGGATCAAGCTCATTAGGACAAACCCTCACCGACTCGTCGATTCGGCTCATCGACTCAGCGAGTCCATTCAAAATCATTCCCTATTCAGACGATTCTAAGCAGATATACTACTCCAAACACTAGATCTAGCATCTCAAGACTCGGTTGTTACCTAAAGCTTCGATCTTTACGTTCATGCATGGTAATTTTGCTCTAACATACCAAAACATGCTCTCACAAGGTGTTAAGCACAATAACCCTCATGTGGATGAATAAAGTTAGGACCTTTAGACTCTAGGGACCTCAAAAGGTCCAGATCTGAGGTTTAAACCCCAAGATAACTCTATATGCTAAAAGCCCCATAAAAAGGTGGAAGAAACCCTAATCTTCCATAGAATGAGATCCATGCAAATAAATGAGAAAGGTGCAAGCTTTTACCTCCCACTGCAGCCCTTGCATGAAGATACATCAGATCTAACTGATTCTCTTGATTCCTTGGAGGATAATCTCCTTTTCTCCTCAAGAGATGCACTAGGTTACTCCAAGTTCAGCTTCTAAGACTCTCATAGCTTACTATACTCGTTTAGGGTTTTACACGGGAAGGCTAGGCAGCTGGGGAGGCAGAAATGAGGCATAAGTTCTCTTATATAGGCCCCAACCCCAGGAAATTAGGGTTTCTCTGACCAGCACCAACTCGGTGAGTCAGCTCTCTGACTCATCGAGTCTTATCGTTAATCCCACGTGGTCAACTCGACAGGTTTGACTCACAACTCATTGAGTCACTCAATCAACTTCAACATTCAATCACATGAATAATATACCTGGGAGTCCGTATGTTACAGAACGTGATGCTGCAAAGTCCAGATTTCACGAAATTGTGATAACAACTAAATGAGATTATACTTATATATAATTTTGAACAATGATTTTGGAAATGATATGAAGAAATTAATATTGTGATTCATATCATACTATTTTGAATTCTTTGATTTCAAATTCTATAATTATGAAAGGTATACACAAATTATTTGATTTTATAAAAGAAGGAACCATATTTATGTCTTGACAATTATGTTGTCATTTATTCACTTCAATACATTCCAGTTAAAAATTTCAGTCACCATTAATAAGTTTCCAACTTTCCAAATGTAGTCAACTTAATTTAGTTAATATTAATTTTATTCTATTTTATAATGAGATCATCAAAATGATCTAATGGTTGAAATTAATTAAATAAACACAATGAATGCACCTGATTGTTGAAGGTGATGTCATCAAGTTTCTATTTTATTTTATATATATATATATATATATATATATATATATATATATATATATATATATATATATACACACACACACACACACACACGCACACTAAACCCTTCGGGAAGGTACTCCATTTTTACTTTTCTTTATTTATTTTTTCATCAAATCCAAACACATAATTCAATCCAATTAATACAAAACTAATTAAACTTAATTTTATTTCATTCAATGCAAACATAGAACCCAATCCAAACGCGCGCGCACACACACACACACACACACACACACACATATATATATATATATATATAGAAGTAAGTTCATGCGAAAATATAAATATCCTGCGAAAACGCGAAAACAGATTTTATCTTATGAAAATTAAACACATGTACTATAAAAAATAATTTTATTAGCAATAAATTAAAGATAGTAAGTTTGAATTGGATGGTGTTGTGGTAATATAGATTTAAAGACGGTTTTTATAATTATATTTTTTTCACGTCTTTAATCATTTTTAAATTCATGTTTTCATGATAAAAATGTTAAAAATCATACTTTGCTAATATGAAACAGTTTATCATCTATCATCGATTATCATCATGTATTTCAAAGTTTGGATGAATTATTTTCCAAAATATAATGTTGAGGTGATATAATATCATAGGTTTTTCTTGTTTTCGCGTTTTCGCAAATTATTTACATTTTTGCATGAACCCTCCCCTATATATATATATATATATATATATATATATATATATATATATATATATATATATATATATATATATATAGAGAGAGAGAGAGAGAGAGGGGGAGGGAGAAAGAGAGAGAAGGAGGGAGAGAGAATAGAAAAATATGTTTATCAAAAACTCACTAATAAGTCATTGATACATATACTGAACACATAAACTATACTCAAATGTAAGAAATGAATCAGTAAATCAAAAAAAAAAATGCTAACCTTATGAAGCTGGTATTCGAACGTGATGTTGCAAAGTCCAGATTTCACGAAATTATGATAACAACTGATTAAGATTATACTTATACATAATTTTGAACAGCGATTTTGGAAACAGATATGGAGAAATTAATACTATGATCCATATCATACTATTTTGATTTCTTTGATTTCAAATTCTATAATTATTAAAGGTATATATACAAATTACTTGATTTTAAAAAGGAATGAACCATATTTATGTTTTTGACAATTATGAAGTTTTTTAGTTCAGTTCAATACATTCTCATTAAAATTTTAGTCACCATCAATAATTTTCTTATATAGGTTTTCGATGAATTTTGGAAATTAAAATAAAATCAACAATATTTATATTACTATGGTACTCATGAATATGTTTATATATGAATGGTCGACCAAATGAGATATAGGAGAATATTAAGAGTTCAAACATTCATAGTTGTATGTGACTTTGACATATGTTTTATATTCATGTCTGGGTGGGAAGGATCAACGCATGACACCATCAACGCATGACACCTGAGTATTCTTTTATGCAATTGTGACACTTTTTATGAATTTTCTAAAAGACTAGGGGTGGTACAATTAGTTTGATATTTGTTTATTATTTTTGTGTTGATCAATATTTGATTTAAATTTTTCTTTATCTTTCTTTCGTATAGAAAATAATTACATAGCAAACAAATGATATTCTCACAAAAAATGATATTTGTCATTATATCTTCGTATTAGATATCATCGGTTAGTAATCAATTTGAAGATATATTTTCAACCAATGCTCAAGAGACTTTTTAATCATATAGGCTCATCTTTGCAAAGGAATGATTCGATAATACATGATTTTCAACATTGTTCAACAATGTACATTGATTACACACATACATAACAATTAGACAATTAAATCCATGATATACTGTAAATATAATATGATAGGTAAAAAAATTCACTTCACATAAATAATGGGAGAACTATTACTGTGTATTTACTTTAATTTAATGAAATATGTCACATATTTTTATTATAATTCTCAATTATTATTTTAAATACTAAATTCTCGACAAATTTTACTAAACATTGTTTTTATTAACTAAAAGATAGTTTTTCGGCTACTTTGTCAAAGTTATCTTTAATGAAAAGTTTTTTAAAAATCATATTCTAATATGTTTCTCTTTCAGAAGCTAAGATTAGGTCTTGATTCGTTGTAGTCAGAAACATGCATCGGTTCATTATTTTCGAATACAGTCATTATAACATAAAAACTTCCAATCACTTTTCCTTTTAGCCCCACTCCCGAATCTAATTGCAAATAGTGGATGGGATTCTTTTTGGTGACTAGATGATATAGTCGCTACTTAATTCCAAATATATTTTTTTCAACCGTTGCCTTGAACATATTCGTTTTCAAATAATTCCGTTTACAAAGATATTTATTTACCATTCTAACAGTCGTTATCTTTTTTATATGGATTACAGAAAGAGAAAATTAAAGCTTTTGGTAATTCCAAATCAAAACGGCATTTTGATTTTGTATAAATTATCACAAGTTACAAATCTTACATGATTCATGATTCACATCCCAACCCAAGCCCAGATTAAATATAAAGAAAAACAAATCTTTTAACACGAACAAGATAGAAACAAATGGCTCACTTTTTGTATCTCTATAATATTAGTTGCCACCCGAAGTAGATGATAGAACGTTGTATTGTTCCAAATGTTTTTGAAAATCACGTAATTGTGTCTGTAGTTGCTGAATCCCGGCTGCTTTTTGTGAAAGAATTATATTTAATTTTGAAATATATTCATCGAGTTGATTCCCTGGTTGATCCACTTCAACCAACAAGTTCATTTCCTGTATACGATTATCACAGGGTTGAATATAAGAAATAGCAATGTATTTTCCTTATTATATTTAATTTTGAAATATATTCATCAAGTTTTATTTTCTCATATATATTTTTTTTAATATAAATGACAAAATAAAAGAAAAAGGTTTTACCTCCTTAACGATGTCCATAGTCTCCTCCACTTGTTTCCTATGAGCACTCACGAGATTCTCCTCTTCCTAAAAAAAAATCAAAATTTTCCCACAAAAATAAAATAAAACCATCATTGCGTTATAACGACATCCAAAAAGCGACCAAGTCGAAAAGTTACCTCCAAAAGCGCATTGAGTTCGTGAGTTGCATGAGCATCAATGGCTTCTTCAACGATAGGTTTCATCTGAATATCAGTCTTCTCAATCGAATAATCAAAATCATCTTCCATGATTTCTTCATCTGTATTACCAAAATCACTTCTGTAATTCTCCGACGAAGGTAAGTAAGTCACCGATCTCGCAACAGAAACATGTTCCTGTTGTTTCGGCCACCCAAATCTGTTCGTTTCATATGGCAATGGCAATCTCTCGATTTTAACATCTTCCGAACGCGATACAGGCAACGCGATTGAATTCCGAAGATTAAATGTTGAAGATGATAAATCCTTCCTCGAACTGTTCCCTTTCGATAGACTCTTAACCCTAATTTCGTCAAAAATCGAATCAATTAGGGTTTTTTGTTGTTGTTGTTGTTGAAATAAAAACGCTCACGAACAATAATCGATTTTCTCACCTGTCTGCGTATCGCAATGTGTTTAGAGTGTGTTCGCAAGATCCAGAATTTGGTGAAATGCATGAGATCATAACAGTTCGCGAGTTTCCAACGAAGGAATCTCTGAGAACTTCGGTGAGTTTACTCCCTCTGAAGGGAATATGGCCATGGTCGTTATCAAGTGCTCTGATACATTCCTTTAAAGCGAGTAAACTTTTATTGATTTCTGCACCTTCCATTCTGCAATATCAATGATCAAGATTCATCAACAAATCTATTTTGTGTTTCTTGAATTTAAGTTTTTTTAACGAATTAAAAGAGTTCATCAAGTAACCTTGTTTGTTTATCATTATCAGTGGTGTCTGCTCCTCTTTCACTTCCAGCAAGATCAATGAAAGATAGTTTTCCAACTAATCTTGGAGGCTTGGATTCATTGCCATCAATTAATCTTTTGACAGCAAGTTGAAGAATAGCATGTGATCTAGAAGATTCCTCATTTGCCCCTGTTGTACCTGTGCTCCTTGTGGCATTTCCTCTCTCAATTAACTCCTTCACTGTTTCCACATGTGATACCATGTATTCCTGCAACCCCACTATGCAAACTTGTTGTTTTCCATCTTCCCTCATACAAAGCTTCCTGTTATGTAATGTGATATTCCATGACTTTCTACAAGAAATAAACATTTTGACTTTAGTATAAAATGATTGAAAGTTGAAACTCACTTTCTGTCATTAAGAAGATCGAAAACTTTCCCTCCATAAATTTCAAAGAAACTGACAAACAACTGAAACCCTTGGTTTCTGTAAGTGTGGTGCATGAGTCTGAAGATATCTTGTGAAGCTTTGAGGGGTAGGGGTTGCATTGTATAGGTCTTTCCGCTACCTGTATAAAAATGTAAAAGATTTGATTTATTGAGAAAATAAGATCTTGAAAATATGTTTTGAACTATTACAATAAGGTAATAACAATCATCACTACCTGTTTGCCCATAAGCAAAGCAGGTTGCTTTTGTTTTCTGAAAAATAATCGGGACAATGGGTTCCACAGTTTCAGAGTATATTTCATCATTTGTAACACCTTCATTCATAACAGCATCAAAAACAAATCCGTGTTTCTCAACATATTCAGTCAAGTCTACCTGCAAAGGCGATAAATTTGAGTCTCCATTATGGTGAATTGAACTATAAAGAATAAAGAAAGTAAGAAAAAAGGTATGTTGTGATATGTTACAGTTGAGCTTCATATGGAGCTTTCAGCTTACCTTGACTTTTGATTCATGAACAGTGAGAGAACTAGAATTAGGGTTTATGGTGATGATGTCTTCCTCCCTTTTTGCAAGTTCCTTTTTGTTAAGTGGTCTCTTGCGCACCACAACTTTAATCTTAGCAACATTGTTGGTTTTCTCTTTATCTGCTAAAGAGCTCTTAAGATTGTTGTTCTCAATTGGACCACAAGAAATATTAGCAAATTTGTTGGTTAAGGAATAAGCATTGACATCATCAAGACCTTCAGCATATAGAGGTTGATTGAGCAAATTCAAGTTGTTTTCACTATGAACCTGCAGATACAGAATATTAATTTTAATGGTGTGTTTTCAAAATGCATAATTATGAGAAGTAAAGTTGAAGTGGGGACAGACGTCTGTTAAAAGCTCAGTGTCGAAGGAATGAAGATCAAGTAACCCAGGGCTAAACTCATTGGATGACACTTGTTCCACACCACCATACTTTGTAAAGCTTGATGAACGAGAACCAGGAGTTAAAACATCTGCATTCCTCTGTGAATTCCTGTTTAACCTTGAACCTTCAACATCATTATTCCCATAAAACCCAAAATCCTGCAGTCAATTTGAAACTTGTCAAAAAAAAAGTAATTCAAATTCCAAAATCAGTTGCTTCTCGTTCAAACAGCTAGAACTTGTAATGAAACCTCAATCAAATTACATTTATATAACGAGTATCATTACTTCACAAACGATTCATCTACATACTATAAAGAGATAGATTGGTGAAAACATAAATGAGCGATAAACATAATGCAGTGAAATCAAATACCAATAACTGTAGAAAACAGCGCTTGAATACCAATCATATTGGCTGAAACGCTACAGCTCTCTGAATATTTCGAAAACGATTGAAGAAAGCGTGTGAGGTAGTTTAGGATACCTGGAGTGGAGGTAGATTGGGGTTAGAGGAGTAGAGATGATGAAGGCCAGCTGATTGAAGCCATTTGTTGTTGAAATTAGTGTCGATGAAGTTATCGGAGGATGAATATTGACGCTGATGTTGATGTCCTCCGTTGGAACCAGATCTCTGCATCGCTACTCTTCCACCTGTGTTCATGTAAAATCTGCAGCAGCGCTGTCCGATTAGGGTTCGTGAACTGAATCTTTGTAGTGAAATACAATAGCACGGAGACAAAATCGCCGGCCGGCCGGCAAGCAGTAAAAATAGGAATTGCTATCAAAGTACCAAAACAAGGAGGACAAATTAGATCTTTGAGAATCGCAATCTGCAAGCTGATTGAAGGTGTAATGGAGATGGAATGGTTGTTGGGATTGAGATTGGTGTGGAGAGTTGTGTTTGAGTGTTGAAGGGGGCTTTTTTGATTTTGAAACTTTTATCGATTTTGAAAACAGGGGCGGGGAGAATTATTTAGTGGTCGGGTGGGGGTGGGGTAGGGCGAGGGCAAAAATGTCAATTTCTTAAAGAAAACAAAATCTCTCATCATTCACACATAAACAATGTTCAACTTTAAAATAAAAATAAAAGCTAAAGCTATTGCATTAGCAATGTTAAACTTCAAAAAAACGACAAATTGTATGTATAAAATAATAAATTTTATTAACAAAATTATAAAAATAAATATTTAAAAACCTAGACTCTATGGTTTTAATTCTCTTTTTTCATTTTTCTCCAATCCTTATCGACATCTTTTTTACAGATTTCCCTTTGTAGGTATACGAATGTCTCTTTTCGGACCTCAGGTTCACAGGTATGTATGTTTCTTTACAAAGTATCATGTTTATATCTTACTGTAACGACTTATTGTTCCTTTGTCTTTGCTTCATTCTACATGTTTTCATTGTGTGCATGTCGAAGGTCATCAAAGTGATACAATCCTTCTTCCTTGTACGTGGACTTGACTATCGACTTCTATTCTACATTCCTTCTTCCCCGTTATACTAGGATTTTTAGGATCTATTAATATTGTTGTTACATTTGTTCTTCATTATGTTCAAAATGTTGGTTGTCTATTAAAAAAATGTTGATTGTTATTACAATTTATCCAAGCACAACATAATCCAATAATTGATTTAACCAACGAGATTTAACTGACGATGAATTACTGATTTTTAAAATTTGTCACCAAATCAATGCAAAAATGGGCTCATGCCAACAAATTGTATACCAAACTAACCACGACAAATTAGTTTTTAAACAAATCGTATACCAAACTAATCAAGGTATAATCCAAAATAGTGTGGTTGGCTATGATTCCTTTGTATCAACACCTAAACTGTATCCTAACAACAAGGGAACAACTCAACAACACAGCTCCAAAAAGTTGTGTGAAGTGAAAGCATGGAGCTTCGCATTTTGAGCAAGAACGATGCCAGCACTCACTACTTCCCTTCATCTCTTGCCCAATAATCCAATTTCATGCACGAAGCCATATTTCCCCAATTTTTCATTAACAGTCCCATTTGGGTTCTCCGCTTCATCAAGTTCTTACCCAATCAACAGGTGCTTTTCTGTTTTCAAACTCTAACTGTTATCATCTTTCATTCAAGCAAACCTTTTCTGAACTCGGATTTTTCAAGGATTATCTGTGACATTGTCATTTTTCACTGGTTTCAAGCAAGCCTCCTATGAGTTGAAATCAAATGCCAACTTCACTTCCCACCATGTGTTCGATAAAATGCCAACGTGAAATTTTCAAATACTACAACCATATTTTTAACTCTATTCAAGCTGTTTTATTTTACATCTCCTGCAAAACCATGACTTTTATTGTACAAAGTTCCTTAAGGTTATTTATCCCCTGGATTTGTAATCAAGATTGATCGTGAGCCCATCGCCCTTGCTTTCAAGGATATGTAGCATTTCTTCCTGGTGATTTTTCATTTGGTGCACGCCAACCTTTGTTTGTGGTGTTTCCATCATCGGGTTTCGGTGTTTTCTTTAGGGCTTCAGCTCGAGGCTTAATTCGCTTATCTTTTCTTTTCATGGCTGCTTCTTTTACTTCTTCGATCGGTACTTGGCCATGTCATTTTCAAGGGGTTTCATTGTTGCTCGGATGGACAGGTGGGTCTAAGGGGATTTCTCGTTTAATATCTCATATAAAGAGGTTACACCGTGCTTCCGATGAATGTAAAAATGTGTTGCGGAAGGCTATTTCTAAAGACCATGGATTATATATGGATGCAGAAGAAACATTAAAGGCGTTTGGTCGATGGATATGTGATATAAGTGTATGGATATTCATGCATTGAGTCGTTATTGCCACCACCCTAATGGCCTTGTACAATTCACTGGTGGAACCGACGACATGAGTGGACACATTATTGGCATTCCAAAGCCAGCTTCTATAAGGATTGAAACCGTAGTACTTAAAGGGATGACTTTGGATGCTGTGTCGCTTGATCGTGTTTTCAAGGCACCTATCATGACTGTCAAAAGTATCCATCATACTTGTCGTATGGTTTTCTCTCAAGCGTTGCAAACAGCTCTTAACAAGGTGGTCGCTCACCTCGAGTCTGTTGAATCATGGGTTAGGCTATTGTTGTTCCCCCGATGTACTTTGCAGGTGTTCAGGCCTAAGAACATACAAGAACGTAGGTCTAGGAACAGGAAATCGTCACAAATCGTTGTATATTGAATTCTTTAGCTACATGGGGGAAAGAAGACAGTATTGTCACATTAATTGAAAATATGTTCGACAATGCAGGTCTTGGCTCATCAGGCCAAATTGCTGATCACTTTCAAGATGGCAGAACAAAGGGCAGCACCAACGTCAGACAATGTCTCGGTAAGGTTGCTGATGGGCATTTTACAACAGTAGTGAAAGTGTTGTGCTCCTCGGGTGTTGCTTCACATGAAAATGACACTATCAAAGCTTTAGAGGCTAAGCATCCATACAAGCCACCCTCATCCATGCCAAGCACCATTTATTCTAGGCCTCCCCTTATAGTATATATTGACAATGTCAGTGGTTGTATTAAATCATTTCCCAAATGAACTTCGTGTGGGAGAGACGGCTTGAGAGCTTAACACATTTTGGATGCTCTATGTGGGGAGGTGTCTGTTATAGCCACAAATCTCTTACATGTCATCACTGAAATGGTTAACTTGTGGCTAGGAGAAGATGTCTGTCATGTATGGCAGAATTTGTAGCGTATGCACCTCTTACTCCGCTCTTAAAACCTGACAATGGAATCCGTCCTATGGTTGTGGGCACTATATGGAGGCGTTTGGTCTCAAAGGTTGCTATGATAGGAATTGGTAAAAAAATGACATAATACCTTAGTAACTTTCAATTTGGGGTAGGTGTGTCGGGTGATGCTGAAGTTGTACTTCATAGTGTCAATAGGGTGTTGTATGCACGTCATGATGATGGATCTCTTGCAATGCTTACTGTGGATTTCTCAAACGCCTTCAATTTTGTGGATATATTTTCCTTACTTCACGAGGTCAGGATGAGGTACCCTTCCATTTCCTTATGGGTCGAATTCTTATATGGCCATGTAGTAAGGTTGTATTTGGGAGATAAGCATATTTGGTCCATTATTGGGGTCCAACAAGGCGACCCTTTGGGACCACTTCTTTTTGCTCTTGTATTGCACCCACTTATACATCAAATTAGAGATAATTGTAAGCTTCTTCTTTATGCTTGGTACCTTGATGATGGGGCAGTCATTGGAGATTCAGATGAGGTGGCCAAAGTATTTGACATCATTAGGGTGTCAGGCCCATGATTGGGGCTTGAGTTGAATATCAAGAAAACTGAGCTATTTGGCCTTCATGCGATGGTAGGAAGCTTCATTCAGGTTTATTCCCTGCTGACATTGGGCGACCGTCAGTGGGGGTGAAGCTTCTTGGGGGAGCTGCTAGTAGAGATGCGAGTTTTATTAGTGGGTTAGCCATGAAGAGGGATGCCAAGGTTGTTGACTTGATGTGCCTTTTACCACAGTTACATGACCCCAGAGTGAGCTCTTTTTGTTTCGGTCTTGCATGGGCATCTCCAAACTTTTCTTTGGCTTGAGAACGTGCAACCCGTTCACATGGAAGAGGATGCTTTGTGTTTCGATAAAGGATTATGTGGGTCGATTGAAGACATTGTGGTTTGCGGGGGTCCATTCTTTGGGGACCTTGAAAGGCGACTGGGTTCGTTACCAATTAGGTTTGGTGGTTTGGGGTTGTACTCAGCAGTAGAGGCTTCCTCCTATGCTTTTGTGGCCCCACGAGCTCAATCGTGGGTGTTACAAGACCACATCTTACGAAATGGCGGCATATGTGGTATGGATTCAAATTATGTTTGTGTTTTGGCATGTCTTAGTGATACGATTTCGAGCTTTGACTTCAGCGGTTTCACTAACAAGGACACCGCCCCTCCAAAAGCCCAACATTCATTGGCGAGTGCCCTTTTTAGTAAAATTGTCCAAGACATGGAAGTTCATTTCGACATGACGATTAGGCAAAAAGCAATTTTTAAGTGTCAAAGGGCCCCACATGCTCAGTATTTTCTTATGATTATTCCTATTGACGGTCTTGGCTAGCATATGTCGCCGGTGGAGTATCGTATCATCCTCAAGTACTGTCTTATGATCCATTTATTTCCAGCTGATGAGACTTGTCCTGTTTGTCGTAATGCATGCTTGGACTCCATTGGGGAGCATGCAGTTCATTGTAAAGAGCTCTCGGGTTTCAGGTACCGACATGATTTGGTTAAGGATGCTATTTCCGATAATTATAGTCGCGTTGGGATTTATGCCAAGAAAGAGCCCCCCTGTGAACTTTCTGACTGACCCATTGGAAGGAAAATCAACACTTAGACCAGCTGATGTTTTAGTATTTGGATGGGCTGGAGGAAAACATGCATGCGTGGATCTAACAGGTGTCTCCCCTTTTGTGGTCTTGGAGAGTGGAGTTTTCACTGTGGGGCAAACTGCTTTAAAAGTTGCGTCAACCAAAGTGGCAAAGCATGAGAAAGCGTGAATGGGAAATCAGCACATGTTTATACCCTATGTATTTGATACTTTCGGTTTTCCTTGCGCCAGAAGCTGTGGAGTTACTCAATAGAGTTCAACGGGTCATGCATAGTAATGTTATGACTCCAATATCTATAGATGTTTTTAAAAGAATTAGTTTTGTCATCCAAAAAGGAGGTTGCGGCACAACTTGTTACTCATTTACCCGCAATGTCTATGTAAATCTTATGAATTTGATAATTAAATTATTTTCTTCACGTATTACATTTCAATTTTGTAAAGTTAAACGTTTTTAAGAATTGTATTTATCTTTAAAATTTATTATAGTTGTATGGATTAAATATGCATGAGCAATGTTTGGATTAGCAACGACTTGAACGTCATACATATACTCAAAATCTTTTAA